CATGTTTCAGCCAGAGCTTTAGATTCCTGAACTCCAAATCTCAGTCACCAGCCAGAGCTCCACGGTTCTGGGCGTGGTCCAGAGACTCTGTTATTCGGTGACGGCAGACAGGCTGGAGTTTATCCAGGAAGCAGAAAGAAGAAGGTTTACCTCAGGCCAGAAGGGACTGGAGAGGACGGGCAGGGGGATGTCTAAGGCTTCTATTTCTACAAGACTGATCACTACATTGTGTGACGTCTCACACACAGATATTTGAAAGTTGAATTCCAGATAGTCCCAAGTTGAGCCTTTAGGAAACTGAGTCACAAATATACAGAGCATGGGAAAGCGTAATTTCCTTGCAGTGGACAAGTAAGTGGCTTTGGGCTTAGCTTTCTGCAGGCTCCGGGATGAAAAGACCCTAACCACGCCATGAACCATGGCAACTCCAAACATGGAGAGATGTCCAGACACCTCGAGAAGCCCCCGCAGGCCGGCTCAGCGACAATCAGAAGTGACAGGAAAGGAATCCTTGTCTGCGCAACAGAAGTCTGGCAAACTGGAGGGACGTTTGATAAAGGTGATTTACAGACCAATAGCTCCACCCCCCTCCTGCGTGCCCCCCCCCAAACACACACATGCAGCGTTAATTAGTGACCAGCAAGAGACAAGGGCCCTAATCTGCTCTATCTCGGGAGCAACCGAGATAACCTCTGAGTGTCCTCACTCCATCATACGGAGGAAGAGTCCGTACTCAGGTGAGACAGCTGGCGCTCAAGGTTCCAGGCAGGAGTTATCTTCCGGCAGAAGGCCTTGAATAAGTCATTTTTTTCTGCCTCATTTTCATCATCAATAAAAGGGGCCTCGAGAGGCAGAGAGGAAGGGACACCACTATTTGACAGTCTGGCAGATTCTTCTACACCTACTGAAACTGGAAAACAAACAAACAAAAATCAGAGATGCCCCTGTTTGTCAAGGATCTAGAAAGCATTCTGTTTAGAGCCATCAAATCCGTAGCGAACACTGGGCCACTGCTCCCAGACTGTTTGGTAATCAGATGGGGCTCACGATGGGGCTTTGAACAAAAGAAAACAGAGCTTTCTGATGGTATCGGCTTTGGGAGCCATAAGTAGTCCCAGCGAGGGAAGAAGGTACATTTTGGCGGAAGCCGGCACTGCTTTTGATGTGTTCTCAACCCAGCGAACAGGCAGGCTTTCAAGCCATGTTATCTGCCCTCACATCTTGACCTAATTTGACGAGTTGCCATGGGAGCCCCAGTGAAGGCTGGTGCAATTTTCTTATCTTTGGAGGAAGAACATAACTGTGCAAGAGAAGGTGAAAATTCGGCTTCTAACTGATTTCCACACTTAGAGCGCAGTAACTAAGAGAGCAGACGAAGAAGTGAAACACACTCCCTCGAGGGCGAGACGGACAAAGACGCGGGCTGCTCACGCGCTAGCAGGGAAGTGGATCTACCCCCCAGCTCAGCAACTCTTTCTCTGCATCCTTCAGTTCAGGCCAAATAACAGGGATGTAAAAAGATACAGGGCTCCCACTGCGTGGCCACACTTACTCTATAGAACAGTTGAATCTGAAGGACTCAGATTTAACAAACAGAAAAGAGGGTAGAATTTGAGATAGAAAATAGGTGTGATGTTCATGAGCAATAAAAAGTTTTGCCAACACTTCTGCAACGATTCCACTTTCCAAGGTACTTTGGCAAACTTCAGCTCATCTCAGCCTATCTGCGGAGAGCCAGAGAGCCGTTAATAAAAGCTCCAGTCACTGCATGCTCCCCGCGTGGTGGCGAGGCTGCGTTGGCCTGTTCCATCCCCTCCCCCACTCCCCAGGACGTATCTGAAACGAGAAGGGGTCCCAGCGAGGGGAAAAGTACAGTTTGCAAATGAACTCATCTACAAAACAGAAACAGACTCACAGACACAGAGAACAAACTTAGGGTCACCCGGGGGGACAGGGGGTGGGAAGGTGTCAGTCAGGAATTTGAAGTTTGCACCTCCTGGGGCGGGATGGAAATGGGAGCTATCTTGATCACGATGGTGGTTTCATTGATGTGAACATCTATCAAAATTCATCCAATTGTACACCTGAAGTGCGTGTAGTTGACCAGGCAGGAATCATACCACAATAAAGGTGTTTCAAAAAATACAGCTTGTACTGTGGGCAGGAGATCTTCCCCAGGCACTGGACACAGGGGGGAAAAAGCCACCCAAGCTTGGGCCACCCCCGACACGCCTAAATCCTGACCTTCCTCCAACCACAGCAACAAGAAAATCTAGTCCAAGTCTAAGGACAATCACAATATCTCGAATTTGTCAAAACCGTGGACCTCCCAGGGCTACAAGCACTCATCTGTGCTCAGAAACACTTGCTGAAATAATTGATTTGTTGCACTGAGCTTCCCCCCAAGTCTAGCACGACGTCTAGCACTCATTTTGTTTAATGAATTGATTTAGTTCTATTACATCTTCACAGGTCTCCTACCACCAAGATAAGGAGGAACACTCCACTGCACCAAAAGTAGAAAAGGGTACAAGGTAAATTTGCCTAAAATCACACAGTGTGTCAGAGCTGGGAGCGGGCACAGAGGACTTCCGTTTTCCCCGCTACTGTTTGCTCTGCCATCTGAGATGGTTTGAAAAGTTAAATCTCCCTTAGGTTATAAAGAAGAAACAACTGAATGGTAAGATCCTTAAAAAAAAATTGCTTTTAAATTCAAATGACTTGAGTCCTTGAGATCGCTAACTGATTTAACACCCTCTCTTTTCTGCCACTCACTGAACATTTTATTTCCTTAGAGAGAAAGAGAAAAAGACAGGAAGGAAGGATGGAAGGAAGGAAGGAAGGAAGGAAGGGAGGAAGGAAGGAAGGAAGGAAGGGAGGAGTCCCCATTAAAAAGAATCTACCCAAAGAAGGGGTGACATCAAATGTAACTCAGACCTCCAGGACATCCCTGTATTTGTCCTGAAAAGCTCTGGATGCTCTGATCTGCTTGGCTCTGAGTTGGGGCTGCCAGAGAAGGCTCACAGGGGGCATCCTGGCATTGGCTATCTAGATGGCAGGTCACCTAGGCAGGTACCTAATCTGTACTTCACCCTCATTCCTAGTTCTTAGAATTTCCAATTCATCCTTTCCCTTCTCTCCATGAAACAGGGACACTTGGAGAGACTCCCAATGCTCAGATGATTCTTGTCAAGATCATCTCAGCCCAAACCCTCTAAATCACTCTTGCAGACTATTTGCTCTGCAGGCTTCTTCCATCTAGAAAGTCTAAGAACCCAGACAGGTACCCCTTTCAGAGGAGTTTCTATGTGGGTGGAGAGCAGGCTTTCGCCATTTCCAGAAACTTCGAGACTTTCTATAGTGTAACCACAGATCCTCACCAGAATCTTATCCCATGAAGGGTGACTCAGTCGGAAGGCTTTCTTTGGCCATAACCCAAAATCGAGAACTTGAAGTCAGCTCATTTAATCTCATGATGCACAAAACCCCCTTAACTAGTAAAATTTTCAGAATTCCGCACCACGGCAAGAGCGAATGATGAAGACAGCCACGGGAGAAGAACTGTGATGGTGTGTGCTGACGGTGGTTATGGCAGAGATCATGTCAGAGGAAATGAGAAGATGCCTTTACTAGGGAGACACTG